GCCCGTAGGCTTTATAGTAGAGTGAGTGATTGTTCGAACTCGAAGTAAGGTAGCCCGTAGGCTTTATATTCTAGTGAGTGCTTTGCTCGAACTCGAAGTAAGGTAGCCCGTAGGCTTTATAGTCGAGCGAGTGCTTTGCTCGAACTCGAAGTAAGATAGCCCGTAGGCTTTATAGTCGAGTGAGTGCTTGCTCGAACTCAAAATGATGTAGCCCGTAGGCTTATTAGTCGAGTGAGTGATTCGAACTCGAAGTAATGTAGCCCGTAGGCTTAATGGTCGAGTGAGTGCTTGTTCGAACTCGAAGTGATATAGCCCGTAGGCTTATTAGTCTAGTGAGTGATTCACACTCGAAGTAATGTAGCCCGTAGGCTTATTAGTCTAGTGAGTGATTCACACTCGAAGTAATGTAGCCCGTAGGCTTAATAGTCGAGTGAGTGCTTGCTCGAACTCAAAGTGATATAGCCCGTAGGCTTATTAGTCGAGTGAGTGATTCGAACTCGAAGTAATGTAGCCCGTAGGCTTAGTAGTCGAGGGAGTGCTTGCTCGAACTCGAAGTGATGTAGCCCGTAGGCTTATTAGTCGAGTGAGTGATTCGAACTCGAAGTAATGTAGCCCGTAGGCTTAGTAGTCGAGGGAGTGCTTGCTCGAACTCGAAGTGATGTAGCCCGTAGGCTTATTAGTCGAGTGAGTGATTCGAACTCGAAGTAATGTAGCCCGTAGGCTTAGTAGTCGAGGGAGTGCTTGCTCGAACTCGAAGTGATGTAGCCCGTAGGCTTATTAGTCGAGTGAGTGATTCGAACTCGAAGTAATGTAGCCCGTAGGCTTAGTAGTCGAGGGAGTGCTTGCTCGAACTCGAAGTGATGTAGCCCGTAGGCTTATTAGTCGAGTGAGTGATTCGAACTCGAAGTAATGTAGCCCGTAGGCTTAGTAGTCGAGGGAGTGCTTGCTCGAACTCGAAGTGATGTAGCCCGTAGGCTTATTAGTCGAGTGAGTGCTTGCTCGAACTCGAAGTGACGTAGCCCGTAGGCTTAGTAGTCGAATGAGTGATTGCTCGAACTCGAAATAAGAGTAGCCCGTAGGCTTAGTGGTCGAGTGAGTGCTTGCTCGAACTCGAAATAGGGTAGCCCTTGGGCTTCGTAGATAGTCCCCGAGTGAGAATGGTTGCTCGAACTCGAGTCGGTGTAGCCCTTGGGCTTTATAGTCGAGTTAGTGTTTCTCGAACTCGTTGATTTTTTGGTTGGCAGTCCCCAATTTATGGGGTAATGGTCGGTCCTTAAGCTTGTTTGCATAATAGATCTCAAAATAGAGGAATTTTTCTTAGATATAAGATATCGGTAAAGAAGAAATTTTTCTTTGTAAGTCATTATACATGTGTTCATGTTTTGTGTCAGGGCTCGGTCCAACTACATGGGCATGACCCGTTTGACCATTTGGCCCTTTTAAAATTTCATGTCGAGACCCTGTTGCCATGAAATAACGAAGTAACTTCCTTTGCACCGTACTTGATAATCATCGTTGATATATTCAATGACAATGGTATGCTCCCCAGTATTCGAGGTTGATTGTAAGGAGGCGTCGGATACTGTTGAATTGTTCCAGGTTAGCACGATCAATGGTTGCTTCATTAAAAAACCTTGCTGAAAAACCCATTTGGGACAAAATCAGTCTAAGGAAAAAAGAGTGCAACGCGTGCTTTCTGACCTAAGGCTTCGTGTTGAATAATCTATCTTTGTTCCTGATCGAATTCATTAATCCTCGTCTTTGGTCGAACACCTCTAGGGGTTACTTTCGAAATATAATTGAAGGGGGGGGTCGTACTTTAGCAGTAGTATCATTTTAGCCGTTTATCACACCGAGCTTGTAGGATTTCTACTATACGGCCGGTATCGGTCTCTAATCGACCTCTGTTCTCGGTTGGTAGCCCTTTTAATAACGTACCCAGAGCCCAACTGTTTGTCTTCGACTCTTATTTTGGACTGATATCGATTGTGAACATCAGCCCAAGTAATAGCTAGGTACTCGATCAGGTTATGCTACAGCCGCCGTGAAGCCATCGAGCTTCGTTCATTTATACCTTGGGTGAAAGCTTGAATAGCCCAATCATCTGTGACTGGTGGTAGATCCATTCGTTCCATTTGAAAACGAGATACGAATTCTCTTAGCATCTCGTTATCCTTTTGTCTTATCTTGAATAGGTCCGACTTCCTGGTCTCGACTTTTATGGCCTCAGCGTGTACTTTTACGAAAGAATCTGCAAGCATAGCAAAAGAATTGATAGAGTTAAACGGTAAATTATAATACCATATCATTGCTCCCTTTGTCAGGGTTTTACCAAATTTTTTTAATAATACAGATTCGATCTCATCGTCCTCTAGATCGTTCCCTTTGATGGCACATGTGTAAGAGGTGACATGTTCGTTGGGATCAGTCGTTCCATTATATTTAGGAATCTCGGGCATGCGAAACTTCTTTGGGATCAGTTTAGGAGCCGCGCTCTGGGGGAAAGGCTTTTGCACGATTTTTTTGGAATCCAACCCTTTCAATACTGGTGGTGCCCCCGGGATCTGATCGATCCTGGAGTTATATGTTTTCACTTTTTTATCGTTTGCTTCAATCCGTTTTGTGAGTTCCTCAAGTATCTTAGCAATTTCGGAATTAGTCCCCGGCTCTTGCTCATTTGACCTTACTATAGCTGGTTCCATTCTGTGGGCAATTTCTCGGGGTGGACTGGGATCCGGCCTACTTGGTATCTGGGTTTGACTCTACAACTGAGCTATTGCTGCCTGTTGAGCTTGCAACATTTCGAAAATCATACGCAAGCTGACACCGTTTTCCTCGACGTTATGGGTATCTCGAGCTACAGATCGAGTGCCACCATGAATGCTATTTTCAGGTTCAGAATGTAGGTTTGCCTCAATGACCACATGCGAATTAATGTCTAATGGCACTTCGACTCGAGCTCCATCAGCGTCGACAAGCGGCCTTTCGGTCCTGGGCGTCAAGTTGTTGATCTCACCTTAAAGACCAGCTTCGTTGTCGATAGGTAAGGCCATTTGATTGATAGCTCGTCGTTGCTAATCCGAAATCAAAGACACTTCCGAAAACAAGTGTTAAATGGTGTATTTTTGCAAATTCGTATCAAATAATCACTATTATCCTTAGCCCCACGGTGGGCGCCAAACTATTTACCCAAAAAATGAATAGAGTTGAATTTGTATGTAGTTCTAAGGGTATGTGGTATAACTTGACACAAATCGTAAGAGTAAATAGAAATATCGAATATTAATTATAAAGAATGAAAAATAAGCAAAGTTGAAAAGAGGATGATTTATGGATTAAGAAAGATGAATCAATCTATGAAGCTAAAAAAGGACAATTCTTCAGTATGGGAGTGTATGATATTTGAGTTACAATGTATGCCAAACTTCCTCCTTTACAGAAATATAGTCATTCCCTTTATAGTGGGGGATCCTACTTTAGATATAATTAAAAATACATAGTGGGAAACCCATGATAAATCAGTTTTTTTCTAATTCCCGCCGAGATTCTCTCTCTTAGTGCGATTGCAACGGCTCTTGTCTATGAGCTCGATCTTGATCAGACTCAACATTGGTCGGTATTGGTCGGTTTTCAGTTTTAGAGCTCGATGCGGGTTTAAGGTCGATGCCGACTCGGGGTCTGGTAATGACTTGGGCTCGGTATCGGTTGGCCTCTGGCCCTTAAGCTCGATTCCATCACATCTCATCATAGTTCGATTCGGACCCGAGCTCGATAATGACTTCGAACTCGGTATTTGACCTGCACCTGAAATTTGAAGCTCGTTTGTGCCATCTTCGGATCACATCTCGATATTATGAAGGCTTTCTTCGGTCCATTATGATCCCATCTCGATCAGTCGTACGAATACCGAAATCAGTTTCGACCATATACAATTTGGTAAAGCTAGAATTCTCCAAAACTTGCTGGTTTAGCAAGTTTTCCCTTCATTTCTTTGTTGAGAAAACTATTCCTATGTTGGCTTAGGTAAGCAAAATTATTTCCTCATCTCTATCTTAGCAAAGTGGGTTTCTTATTCCCAATTGGTTTTGTGACTCATTACAAACTTGTATTTAGTTTTATAACCACATCTCTTTTTTTATACATGAAAGACTTATTTTTACACATAAGAGATCTTTCTTTTATACGTAAGAGATTTAAAAAAGATATTTTTTAAAATTCAACATTGTAAAATGCCACGAAGGCCTAAAACCTCGTTCTTTGTGCTAGTATTAAGGCCTTCCAAAATAAGGGAAAATTTTCTGGGGGATTGGGGCCATTTTTCATATATTTTCTATTCTTGATTTTCTTGCTTTCTCGCTTTCTTTCAGTCGTAAACGATGTCGTTTGATTTCATTTGTAGTAATAGTAGTATTAGCACGGACAAGTTTCTCTTCCACTTTCGGTGTTTGATTCCAATGAAACCCTAGATGGGGGACCATACTAAAGATTAACTAATACTTCCGTTTCAGTTTATGTGAATCTATTTTCTTTTTGGTCAGTTTCAAAAAGAATAATTCCTTTCTAAATTTAGAAATAATTTTACTTAAGCTTACAATTCTACCCTTAATGAGAAGCTTTTATAACCACACAAATTCTCTGGGCCCCTTTTTGAATTATTTAGAATCACAAATTTTAAAAATATTTATTTTTTCTTAAATTCCGTACCCACCCAAATAGGTTCACATAACTAGGAAGGAAGGGAATAGTAACTACCCTTGTGGTCAAAATCTATAATTGCACCAGAAACTTGTACTCTTCCTGTTTGAATCACGTGACGACCATCATTGAATAAACAAAATTAAATCTGCTTTATATCAGCATCAGCATAAATTGTTCATTATTATCCTTTCAGGCGCTGATGGAAACTTAATCATTCAATATTTATTTGTTTTTGAGAAACAGTGACTGAAAACGATGTCGTAGTGTTAATAAATTGTATACAACATAACCACATTGTGTAACCCATATCAGATATTTGTGGTCTCTGACTGAATTTTATACAAGTCTTTTTCGAGCAGTTCTATATCTTTTGTCTCTTAGTCAACCATAGTTTTAAATTCTTGTCTGCTACTGGGAAATCAAGCAGCTTGGTAAAAGTACTTTTATCTGGAGTTGATGATTATTGATTCTTTGTGCGTCATACTGTGTATTTTGATTATATATTGTCTTAATTTGCTTCTGCTTGCTTTGGGTATAGAACTGGAAAGAAGTTCGATTAGAAAGAAGACGGTTTTTGCAATTAGTGAGTTACAGCTATGGAGTACAACATCAAGTTTGTGAACAAGCTTAGTTGCATCATGGGATGATGAGCCTCTGTGTAAGGTTTCTTCTTCTTTGTGTTTAATCCTATTCGATTTTTCTTTTATCGTTTTGCTTCTTCATTCTTGTTCTCCCTATTTTCTGATGAAGCTGGTTATTTGCCCCTTTTTGGTGAAATTATGTACTAGTCCGACTAGGAATATGTTGTGGGGTTATGCAGATCTGTTTCCCGGTTTCTTGTGCATGCTGAAATTTTAGTGGAGCCGTGTTGTTGTTTCTTTTTACAATATGGAGTGGAATGTAAAATGGGAGTGGGGAGACCTGATGATGTTTGGTTCGGAGGCCTGTGGAAGTCCGAAAGAACTGCAATTAACAGATTGGGGAGTTGATGAAGAGGGAGAACTTGATCGCAGATCCTTCAATCTGTCAGGGTTTGGCAGTAGTGTTGGTGGTTATGGCTCTGACATGGGGCGTAGTTCTTCAATCAAGAGCTCAATATCAGCTTCTACCGACTCTTCACCAAACGAGNCTTCTACTGACTCTTCACCAAACGAGACGCTGAAAGCATCCAGCTTCACTTTTGAAGCTTCTAATGGCTCTCAAGGGAATCTTGGTAAGGATGTGGAACAGTGCAGAGATGAGCTATCTAGATGTTCGCCACCCATGGAGGCTTTGATAGGCTATGATGGACCATTGACTGGTCTGAAACTTGGTAAGCGAACAGTTGAAAGCAACAGTGGTGGAAGCAGTGTTAAGCTCCCGTCCTCCTCCTCAATCCCTGTATCATCTGTTAGTGCAGCAAAGAAAAAAAAATCATCTAGTCAGAATGCACTAATTCCGCGCTGTCTGGTTGAGGGCTGCAATCTTGATCTGTCTTCAGCTAAAGAATATCACCGAAAGCATCGTGTTTGTCACAGTCATTCCAAATGCCCAAAGGTCATCATAGGAGGTGCCGAGCGGCGCTTTTGTCAGCAGTGTAGCAGGTAAAACTTGTAGTTAGATGTTTGGCTTCCAAATTTTTGTTAATAACAACTTGTTCTTCTGGATGTATAGCTCCTACGGTGTTTT